GGGGGGGGATAGCGCGAGCAGGGCGCACGATCGATAGCACGGCACTCAGAATGAGGTGGTCACTGACCTTGGCGCGGCTGTCACGCAAGACTTGGAAGGGAACGCGGGCGCGGCACTTCTCGTCACCCGAGGGAGCCCACACCTGAAAGCCGTTGGCGGAGGACAGGAGCTCGCTATTTGAAGCAGTGCGGGTTTCGAGTCAAAATATCATCACCGTCGTTTGCAAGCACAGTACGAGGGCACCAGAAGGACGAGACTTCACTGCCACAAGCAGAAATACACCAAAGCAGGGTGGTGCATGGCTCAGCGTCGGCAACTCACTGCATGATAGTGGCCAGCTCGTGGATTTGGGCATCAGTGACACCGCGCTGCGTCAACCAAGGGGTAGCCACACGCAAACCGCTAGAGTCGGAAGCATTCTCATCGCCAGGCAGAGTGTTCTATACAACGACGTGGGCCAGGTGAGATTTGTTCCTGCCTTCTATTCAAAAAAAAAAAAAAAGCTCGTAAGCGTGGACATTCATTCCATGTGGGTACACACCTTGTTGACAATAATGCCAACATTCTCGAGCAGACGGGACGCCGTCTCACCGTCCAGAGGACAACCATCGGCCACCTATTCAAAGTCCAAAAGAGGATGTGAGTCGAGCTGGAAGGACCAGACACACACACACACACACGGTGATGGGTATGCAGTTTTCATTTGAGAGTTTTGGGGTCTGCAAATACGTACGCGGTACTTCTTGAGGTCGATCAGCACCATGTGGTTTTCGGTACCGCCGTACTCGAGCGAGAAGCCTTGCGACACCAATGCATCGGCAAAGACCTTGGAGTTGTGCACAACCAGACGTTGAAGCTCCTTGTAGTCGTCGTAGTGATGGTCAATGAGCTCAAACATGCGGGCAATGCCGGCAATGCTGTTCATGTGGGGGCCACCCTGCATGCCGGGGAAGACGGCATTATCGATGCGGCGGGCCATATCTTTGTCCTTCGTCACGATGACGGCACCTCGGGGGCCCATGAGGGTCTTGTGGGTGGTGAACATGACTGTGTCAGCATAGGGCAAAGGGTTCTGGAGCTGACCGCCAATGATGAGGCCAGCCAGATGGCAAACATCAGCATGGAGCAAGGCTCCAACGTCATCGGCAATCTCGCGGAGTCGAGCCCAGTCCCAGTCAAAAGGGTAGGCTGAGGCACCACCCACAATCATGGCAGGGCGCTTCTCCTGGGCCAAGCGAGCAATGGCATCGTAGTCAAGCTTGCGTGAGTTGGGGTCGATCTGGTACTGGGTGGTAGCATAGAGCTTGCCAGACACGTTGAAGGGGGAGCCATGGGAGAGGTGACCACCGTGCGAGAGGTGAAGCGTGAGAAGGCGGTCTCCTGGGCGGAGCAGACCAGCGTAGATGGCGAGGTTGGCAGGGGAGCCAGAAAGGGCCTGGACGTTGGCATGGATACGATCGGCCGAGATGCCGCCCTCCAGGCGGGCAAAGGTGTTGGCCACATAGTGTTTGGCGAGGAGCTCGACGCGGTCGCTCTCATTGCAACCGCGGTAGAAGCGGCCATCGCTAAGGCGGCGATGCCAGGCATGAAAGTATTCACGGTCCGTGGCCAGGTCGGGGGATACGCGGCTGAGACGCAAATCGGGCTGTCCTTCAGCGTAGATGTTGCCAAAAGGAGATGCCAAGACCTTCTCGCACTCGGGGTAGCAAATCGACTCGGATGGGATGAGGACCAGCTCGTCACGTTGACGACGAGTTTCGTCGCGCACGGCCTGTTCCACAAGCGACGTCACTGCTGGGCTCGTCTTTTGGTAGGCAAAAAAGGTACGCGCTTGTTGGCGTCCAACCAGCAGGGCTGCTGGAGCCCGCGGGGCCATGCGCAGGGCGCTCGACATGGCGGCGGTGGCTCTAGCAGTGCGTCAAGAGGTCGTGAGCCAGAGTCAAGCGGCGTTGGGTGTTGGTGATGGCGAGCATGTGCTGTATGTGTGTGAATGGAAACCAGGATTGGCAGGTCGATAGATGGATTGAAGGCTGCTAGTCATGAATGATCGGGACTCGGTCGGTGCAGAGGCGGCGGCGATCGCGGGTGCTGCGCGCCCACGTCAACTGACCTGTCAAGGCGCAATCACGCTTCTCGACTCGACCAGCTGTGTGAGGGAGGCACACAGTTCCTGCGACAATGATATAACCCGTGTTCCACGCACCAGAAGCGAGTGAGTGAATGCTTCTTCTTCAAGGCCAACCGCCGCGTTTTGCAGTGATCCGCATCACCCATTGCCGTCTCAGCACATCCAGTGAGCGTGTTCCTTTTTTTTTTTTTTTTTTTTTTGGGCGGGCGGCGTGGTCGCAATCAGAGAACGTACCGCTGTCGCAAAATACAGCAACGTTAATTTCAAGCCCCCACAAGAGATAAAACAGAGATCGAGACGTCAAGTTTAAGCAGGACCAAAAGACAAAAGGCCAAGACCGTCTGACATCGCTGGTTCGAGGATTGTGCAATACAATCAAGATTGCACCAATTCAAAAGACCACAACGTGGTGTGTGTGTGTGTGTGTGTGCAGATGAGCCAGCTGCACTCTCGGAAACCAAATAATAAGAGAAGTCTCAGCGCGCAAAATGTGGTACTCATATTCGAACCTCACGTGCCCGTGTGGAGCACACACGATGGAAAGAAGAAAAACTGAGACGAGCGATACTTTTGTCTGCCTCTTGAGAGGCCAACGGTCAATTGATAGTCGACGAGAGGGTCAGGAAGGCGACAAAATACTCATCATCGAGATGTGCGGGAATCAGAGGTCACAGACCACGGAAAGCAAGAACGAACAGACATAGTATGGCGAAAACCCAGTTTTCCGATACAACAACATACAAAGTAGAAAGCCTCCTTGGGAGGCACATAATCGCCTGTGTGCAGAGACCACAACATTCAGCCAGCTTGCACAACAGCAACAACCATGATCGCTTTCTTCCCAAGTATTTAGCATTGGCTGAAGAATATGAGGGGAAAGGAACAGAGAAAGAAGGAGAAGCGCATGGCGACGGGCAGTCAAGTAAGAGAGGCGGGGACAAGAACAAAACAAAACTAAACAAAACAAATAAAATCACCGTCATAATAGTATGGCCATGCACGGCCAAGAAGCCGTATGTGGCGGTCGACTCTTGCATACACCAAGGGACCAGATGCGTCTCAATAGTGATTGTGTCGAGACCAGGGGATTGAATATACCTAATCCAGTTCGAAGATGGTCAAGCTGAACTAGCTTCGAATCTGGCGACGAAGCATGTCGGCCTCGCCGCGAAGAACCTGGCAAATCTTTTCCAGGTCGGCATTGGCCGAACGCAGGGCTTCAACTTGAGCAGACATGGAGTCCAGTTCCAAACGCTCGTCCGCACGGCGCTTGCGCATGTACACGCGCCGCCGGTCACGACGGCGCTGTTGTTGTGCTGAGCGTTTCTCCATGCGAGCCGGGTCCTCTGACTCTGAGCTGTCTCTCTCGCGCTCACGAGCAGCGGGTTGAGCAGCGGGTTGAGCTGCGAGGGCCCAGCCAGAGGGTCGGTTTGGTGGCGAACCTAGGCGTCGAGCTACATCCTCATCCGAATTCATGGGTGACATAACGGCTGAGCTATGGGAAATCGGAGACAGCATGGGTGATGCCGACGAGTGCGTCGCAGGTGACAGCTTGGTCGAGCTGGCTCCACCTGCGGCCAAAGTTCGCGTTTCGAAAAACGGCATGAGCGTCCGCGGCTCAAACAAGGCAAACGAAGCGCCAAAACACCATTTTCTGAAAGATACGAAAAGAGGGAATCACACGGCAAGCGGTCATACCGTGCCGAAGCTGGAGAATCATGCCTGAGATCCAGGCCGCCGCTTTCGGGTTGCCGCTGTCTTCTGCCAAGTCGCGTGGTGTCCTGTCCTCCAAGTTGGCGCTGGTAAGCATCTCCGAAACATCAATGGTGTAGCCCTTGACTGAATCTCGTGCCTCAGGGGTTTGCAAAAAGTGTATCAGGTCTGTGATGATCTGGTAAAGGGTTGAGCAAGGCAAAGAGAAAAAAAAAAAAAAAAAAACAATGAGGCAGCGTGAAGTGCGAGGTGACGCATTGACGCTTTTGCTCGATGCTGGACTGTAACAGCCTCGGCTAAAATATCCACAGCTCAACGCGGCTCTCACCTCCAAGTCGCCATGTTTGGCGGCAAAGTGGAATATATTGTCCCGGTTCTTGGTTGTGAGCAAAGTGTTGAGACCCGGTACTCGGCACAAGAGGCGAACACATTCGTTGCAGCCCATGGCCAGGGCCCAATGCAGCAGCGACCAGCCCTTGGCATCCTGGGTGTTGATGCTCGTAGGGTCCGTCTTAAGAAGATGACTTAATACCTGGTGTTGATCTTGGACTACCGCGTGCATGGCCGCCGTCATGCCACGACTGTCTCCCAGACTAGGGGTGCACTTGAGCTGACAGAAGAGGCGAACCACGTCCAAGCGGCCATGTCGGCAAGCGTGTATCAATGGTGTATTCATCTATCAGCAAGAACGTCGGCAGAATGAGCGCGGCAAGGGCAGGCGAATGTCAACTAAAATGTAGCAGGGCTTTGAAGATACCTCGGCGTCCATGGCGTCGATATTGGCACCTGCGGCTACCAGCATTTCTATAATGCGCCGATCAGCGTTCACAAGCACGGCCAGATGCAGAGGTGACTGCTGATCCTTGTTGGGAATGTTTGGATCGGCTCCCAGGGAGAGCAGTTGGTGCATGAGCTCGCCGTTGCGAGCCTGGACAGCCCAGGCTAAAGCCGTCCAACCAGCACCATCGCGTTGATCAAGTTGCAGTCGTTGTGCTGTGGGTGATTACAAGCAAGACAGAAGTTAGGCCAGAAAGTGAGAGGCATTCAACGAAAAGAGATGCCCGAGGGTAATAAGCTACGATCACGATGATAGCGGTGACGCCAGCAATGACGACAACTCAAACAACTCAAACAACCCCAACAACTCGAACAACTCAAACAACACCAACTACTACAAGGATTTTGGTACCGCGCAAGCCCACCTGGTGTGAGGATTGTAGCTGGCATGCCATGAGGCGCCATCGCCGCTTCGCTGGTGTAGCTGTCCAAACTGGTGGTGTGAGTGGCGGCTGAGTATGGATATTGGAGGGAGGAGATGGAGGAACGGGTTCCTTGGTCCCAAGAAGAGGAGAGGTTGGCCATGGGGATGTCAGGGACCAAGTCGACGCTTTGTTGGGAAGCACCAAAGAGGGCCTGCAAGCTCGTGGGATCATGTTGAATGACCGCCATGTGCAAGGGGGTAAGACCACCTTCGGACAAGTGCGGGTTACTTTTGGAGCTCGTGGAGCTATGACTCTTGACGGCCCAGCCAACGCCGAAGAGAAGAACAACGGCAGCAGCCACCACGACGATGGTGAGAAGCCAGCTGGCAAGCGAATCAGCAGTGGGGACATCGTTGCCTGGGTCGGAAGTGTTGGGCCCTTGCGTGGTGGGATTGGCAGAGGAAGGCAGAGTTTCCATGGACCCCGCGGGGATGGTCAAAGTATCGCCAAGGACGACGCTGATTTCACCTGAGGCATCGATGTAAGCTTGGAAGAGGTCACGAATTGTTTGGTTGTCAAAGTTGGTCACCAGGCGGGGGTAGGAAACGCCAGTCGTGGCCGTGATGGGCACAATATCAAACGACTGAATCATCAGCCAAGAAAAAGAGACATTGAGGCTGGTTCCAATCTGAAATAAGGTCCGATCGGCCACGACTTGCTTGAGGATGCTCAGCTCAATGCCGGTGCCAATGAATCGATCCCAGGTGATGTTGTACCAACATGAAAAGCTCGGAGGAGCTGTCGTTGTCGTTGTCGTTGTTGTCGTTGTCGTTGTTGTCGTTGTCGTTGTGGTGGTGGTGGTGGTGGTGGTGGTGGGAGGGTCCACAACAGGGGAGGTATCACTGGTGCTGGTCGTGGAGGGAAGTGCCGTTGTTGCTGCCGTTGTTGTTGTTGCTGCTGTTGTTGTTGTTGTCGTCGTCGTCGTCGTCGTCGTCGTCGTCGTTGTTGTGGGATCACCGGGAAATAGAATATCCAAAGGGACACTCAAGTCAATGCTGATTGAGAGAAAGCGACGGTCGCGCACAGGCACGGCGCGGGTGACAGTAGCAAGTAGGAAGAGGCCACACAAGACAAGGACAAGCTTGTCTCCCATCCGTGCCATTGTGACGGTTCGAAGGAAAATCCAAGAGTACCACAGCTGTGAGACTATTGTTTGCTGTACTGAATCGGAGAGAGAAGCACGGGGAGGCTAGCCTCCTCTTCGTCTCGGTTGGCGACACATCAATGTTGCTGAGAGCATGCGGAAATCGCAGCGCCCAAAACCGGGCCAAGGTTTGAATAAGACGGTGCTCAGGTAGGCTGTGCTCAATATCAATAAGTCTGTGGCGCTCAAGAGCAGAGAAAAAGGCCCTCACGCGGGCAGGCGGTACCCTAAAAAATTATCCGGGGAAGCACGCGCTTTGAGCGAGTTGAAATGGCGCGGAACACACCCAAGCCATGGCCAGGACGGATAGAGGACGGCAAGCGGCACGCCACACATTTCTCTCTTACCTCTTGCGCCGAGAGGCAAAGAATGACGACAAAATTGGTGGGAAAAGGGCGGTGCCAGTTGTGCCGGTGCCGAGCATGGATCAAAAACGAGAGCCCAATTGGCGTGACACAAAGCCGCTTGCGTCTCGTCTCTCGCTCTCGCACCCGATGGAATGCTGCAAAAGCTGTTACGCGCGTTGTAAAAAGAGGCAAACGCCTCTTCGAGCTATTCCGACACCAGATCGTTTGGCGACTTGAGCAGAACGCCAGAAGTGAGAGACAAAGAGAGAGAGAAGGGAGAGGTTGGGTTGATGGGGGTGCTTTGAGAGAGAGAGAGAGAGAGAGAGAGAGAGAGAGAGAAAGAGCTTCAGAGGGAGAGCTTCAGAGATGGTATCATGTGTCGTGGGTGGCAATGGTACGTGTTGTCAGAGGAGCAGGAGTGTGGGACGAGTCAAGCAGGAGCAGTGGGACGCTGACAACAGCACACTACGCACGCGCGAGTGCATACAACTCCTATAAAACTTCCCTAGAAACCTCCCATTAGGGACTTGCCTTGAGAAGCAAGCTTATGTAAAGCGTGGTGAAACGCCGCAGAATACAATTAGTAAAATACTTTCACGTCGACAGTAGAGATATTACCATCACTGGTTTCGCATTTGATCTTGGCAACCAGATCAACAAAAAGCGCCAGCACCCAACACGACGCGTCGAGCCAGGAAGAACGGCAGGACGCCTCGCTCCAAACGCACCTGCGCGGGCTGACCTGTTTGGTGCAAAGCAAACCGCAAAGTGACTGGTTAATTGTTCGAGAGGGAACACCAACCAAAAGGGGACATCGGTCCTGATCACCGTGGTGCGAGGCCGCCATTTGGCCCAAAGCGGTGATTCTGGTCGTGATCCAGCGCTGTTGCTGCAGATACGTTGTGTTCGGGCAGGGCCTTGGACATGATGGCACAGCCCATGCCACCACCGCGGCGTCCTGCCTCAGCCGCGGCCTTGCAGAAACGCCATTCCCTCAAACTTGTGGCCCGCAAGATTGTGCGCCGCAACAAACTTGAAAAGCAACAACGCGAGATTCAACATCAATTGGAGACTCTCCAAAACGCAAGTCTCAACGCACGCCTGTTTGCTCTGCTCGATCGGCATCGCTTCTTGTGTGTCCTTCTTGTTTTGTTGTGAGGCGTTGTCCTTTGGGCCTGCTCCTCGCTATTCTTGCGCCCGTGTGCGCCGCTGACGTTTGATGTTGTGATCGCAGGTGCCAATCGACCTGCTGGCGACCTCGTGGCTTTCCGAGTCTGGCATTGTGGACCTGCGCACCCGCGTGTACCTGGTGGAGAAATGTCTTGGCCCCGTGGTCATGGGTCTGGAAGCTGTTCTTAGTGATCTCGAAAAGCGCGGCATCGACCCCGCCTCTGAGTCGCTCGTCGGTCGCTTCAACCCAGTGGACTTTTTGGCCGCCTTCCTCATGCGCAACAACCCACGCTATAGCAACCTCAACGATAGCTCCCCCTATGCCAAATCCATGCAGGTCGTCATGGAACACCTCAAAGACCGCCTTCACGCCGCCACCGGTGACTCGCGCTCTCGCGTACAGGCCGATGTTCAACGACGCCGTGAGCGCATGGATGCTGAGATTCGAGCCCAGCGCCTGGCGATTGAAGCCCAGCTTGAGCCCCTGCTATCCAAATTCCCATCACAGGGTCTTCCTGCCCCGTTTGTTACCGAGTGCATCAGCCGCTATCCCCACATCTCTGCAATGGTTGCTTTTGATGCCGATCGGCAGAAGATGCCCGATCACATCGACGCCCCGACCTTGGTTGCCATTCTGACGCCTCTCCTTCATGGCGTCTCTTCAGAGGACGTCAAGGCCTTTAGCACGTACTTTCTTGAGCAGCACGTCGCCGCACAGCAGGCTCAAAAAGCCGCCGAAGAGGCAAAAGCTGCAGCCGAAGCTGAAGCAGCAGCCCAAGCAGCCGCCGATCTGGCTCAACAGGAAGCCTCGGCCCTGGTGGTAGTAACAGAAAGCAGTGACTTTGAGGCCGAAGCTCCGGCTGCTTCACCTGGCTCATCGCACGCAGCGAAAACAGATGCTTCCCTGGACTCGCCTTTGAGAGCAAGTGCCCATGCCTATGCCACTTTGTCGCAACAATTTCCATCTACCATTGGCATGTTTGCCGACGTACTGGCACCCCAGGTCGAAGCGAGTCGGCCGCCAACTGCCAGCTCCGCAGAATCCTTGTCAGATGCACCCGGTGTCCTAGCCGAGGCTGCCGTCACATCTTCAGCCTACGCCACACTAAGCACGGCGTATCCATCGTTCATCTCTTCCTTTGCCCATTATGCCTGAGCGCCCGAGAGAAAATCTTCACTCCGGCCGGGCCTTGCTGGAGGATTCCTTCTCTGCTGTGCCACTTTTTGTGTTGGCATAGCTCTAGTATTTTCTCTGCCCACTTTGCTTTCTATGATTGATCTCCCAAAACCTTCATCACAGCCCGCTTGAGTTTCTTTGGTGGATTCACGCCACGTTTGCAGTCACCAGATCTAGCGCCAAAACAAATGAAGGGCCTGCCCACCAGTTGTGCATATCACACGACAAGAAAAAAGCAACACAAAACGCGACGCGCATATTGAACAACATCAACTTCTTACAAGCAAGAGGGACAAAGGTTGTGAATGCAAGCCCAGGCACAGGAGTCGTTCATGAGCTGACAACCATGCCATTGCAATCAAACAAAACAAGCTCGCTCCATTCGCCCCCGGCTTCAACAGCGGGAACTTTGTCTAAACTTTTCTGCGGCAAATAATTACAAGCATCCTGCCACCCGCAGGATCACTTCAGGCCTTGAACACGGCCACATCACACCCACTGATCCTTGGGACGTTGCCACATCAGGTACACAAGTAGAACACAAAGATAGGCACTTGGAAGGTAACTTGCTTAGTGTTTTTTGAAGAATGGAAAGCGGCGACGCTTGCGCTTGCCCTGCTCACCACCTGTCTGGCTGGGTGTGGGTTGGTTTGACGAAACCAAGGGCTGGCCATAGACGCTGGTCATTGAGACTTGTGACAAATCCGCGTCGAGGCGTGAGTGGTGCCCTTGGGCGAGCATGGGGTCCAGAAAGTAGCTATCTGAAGCTTGCATGTGCCCCATGCCACCTTGTAGAAAGCTGGCACTTTGCTCATGCATGGAGGCGCTCGCGCTCTGTGGTGCTTGCAGCATGGAGAGCGATGCGTTCTGGCGCTGCACTTCTCGGTGCTCGGCTTTGAGACGCTCGTACTTGGCCAGCAACTGAGCATGCTTGGTCTCCATCACCTTTTTCTCGTTGATAGACGTGGTCAAGTCTGCATCCAGACGTTGAATCAACTCGGTGCAATTGGCCAATTCCTGCTCGCGGTCCTCCAGCTCCGCTCGACGCTGTATTGAACCAAACCAGGCGCCAGATCAGCCAACATCAAACACAGACGCAAAAGCTGACACCATGGCTGCAGACACGGACAAGAACGTCGCAAACATGGAGCAAGAGGGGGAGTCGGCTTTAACCAAAAAAAAAAAAAAAAAAAAAAAAAAAAAAAAAAAATAATAATAATAATAATAATAATGACAGCCAAACAACTTAGCTTGGAAGACTTTCAGATCAGAGCTCACCTTGCGCAGAGTCTCGGTAATTTCAAACTTGAAACTGGACACCTTGGCCATGACATCGCCAAAGTGCGCCTCGCGGGCTGTCCATTCCATTTGCATTGCTGCATATGGGCCACATCCAGCAGAACACATACCATCGTGTTAGCATTCAGCTTATCTGTAAAGATGCGTGCCCCATGGAGCACGAAGGGCAAACCACAACGGTAAATTGTCATATCCTCACCTTCCATCTTATTCTCAAGACTCTCTTTGTCGTGAAGGAGCTGCTCATTATCGCTGGTCAGGCTCATCAAGATTTGCTGTTGATGTTGTTTATACTCGTCAAACGTTCGCTGCAGCTCCTGCAGCTGTGCATCGCTCACGTTGGGCTCACACAAGGAGATGGAGTGCTCCAAGGTGGTTTCCATGGCCATGCTCTGCAGCTGCGTGCGCAAGCGACGATTTTCTGCTCGGAGGGCGTCTTGGCGGGCATCCACCTTGCTGCGGTGGTGGTGGAGCTGTTCGCGAAGGAGCAGCTTCTCCTTGACCAAGCTCTCAGACTGGGCACGCAAAGCATCGCGTTCCTGAGTCAAATTGCGAAGCTCATCGCGCAGAGTGTTGCGGTCGACCATGTGGCGGGTGCTGACGGCAGCATCATCCACATTGAATTCTGCAATCTCATCGAGGCGCTTGCCGCCCATGCGCGTCAAGGCCAGGTGATCACGCAGTTGCGTATTCAGCAGACGGGTGTGTGCCACGCTCAAGAGGTATTGCTCTTCAGCAGCCTCCGTGGTGGGCGGCACGCTTTCGTCGCTCAGACTTGGGCTGCTCAGACTTGACGTGTAGCTGGAGACGCTACTCTCCGAGTCCACGTCCACAATCGACAAGGTGCCATGACGCGCGGGGCTTGCCTCATCCGTGCCAGTCTTATCGGCATCATCGGTTTGCGAGCCCTGACGCGATTCTAGCACGTGACGGCGGAGATCAGCCCCTTGGCGACTGCGCACGCTACCCGAGCTCTTCTCCGAAGCCGTGCGTGCCTTGTTGCGCTGGCTGGTGGGCGACGCTGTACTGGGCCGCCCAGACTCGAAGCGCTGGCGTAACTGGTGAAAGTCAAAGATGCTCCCAGTCTTGTCGCGGCCACGAGCAGCCGCGACGGCGGCCGAGCGGGACCGGGATAAAGGCGAGCCTTCCGTGGCAAATTTTTCTCGAACGCGTAGAAGAAGGGTGCGGGCTTGTTGTTGATCCCGTTGCACAGAGACGTCTTGATCGGGCTGCTGATGTTGGCGTGCCTGCTGATACGAGCCTGCGGTCATCGGTCCAGCATACGAAGTACCTATGGGTAGACGCGAAAAGAAAAACATGCCGCTGTTAAACGAACGGCCGCACGTCTGCTCCATCTACACACAGTGCTAGCAGGGTGTCGAGGTGTGTCGTGCTTACCGTGGTTGTGGGAGTTGTCGCCTCGCCAGAGGCGAACAGAGGCCGGGGTATCGCGAGGTGGCACCGGGACATCAACCGGGGAATTTGGGGACTGAGGTTCGTGGGTACTCA